GCTCATGAGAATGTCAATCAATAGATCTGAACTTGGCCCATGAGAATATCATCAATACATCTGAACTTGGCCCATGAGAATGTCATCAATACATCTGAACTTGGCCCATGAGAATGTCATCAATACATCAACTTGTGCAGCATGTCATCGATACATCTGAACTTGGCCTCATACATAGCTCGCTAAGCAACAACATCTCAGAAATCGAAACAGACAATGAAGGGGGATGGACAAAACTAACTCTGTCCATAAATAACAACAAATGGTGCATATTCTCAGTGTATGCACCTGCASACCATGGCTCAAAAGTCAGTTTTTTCCAGTCACTAAATGCGGTCATCCCCAACACTGAGTACCTGCTGGTAGGGGGCGATTGGAACACTGTACTGAACGAATCTATATTTGGCCACCACGCAACTCAGGGAAATTCAGGCAGTTGAAGCTCTTACCATTCTTGTAGCCAGAACGATCGACAAAGGAGCCAATGTCTGTCCAGCAGGGGGGAGGAACCGAGATTCCTCTCTGCTTTCTCAATGTTGCTTTGTAGTTTGATTTCTTCGTACCTTCTGTTCGTTGCTTTAACTCTAGAGATTGTTTGGAGTAGGGCCGACATGAATTGTAGGCCTTTATCCAACCAATCTCTGGGGCTAGAATAGCGTGGAGAGGAAGCTCTCCACTCTTCCCAGAAGTTAACTACCCACTCTGTCATTAGAGGATCGTCCATGATCTGCATGCTTAGTTTGAATGTGCCCCGTCCTTTCTCAAGGTCCACTCCCATGTTCACTGATATGGACACAGGTTTGTGGTCCGAAAGGGGGTCGTGGATGATTTCTGCATTAGTTACCCTATGCAATGCCAACTCACTAACTAGTATCACATCCAGTCTGCGGTAAACAGCAGGTGAGTTGGAAGAAAACCAGGTGTAGTCTCGCTGTGTGGGATGAAATCGTCGATATGGGTCAAACATACCATGCTCTATGAGCAGTTCGTTGAGAGCCGCCGACTCGGCGGGGTGAGATAGTGTAGATGGGGAGCTGCGAACTGAGGAGGTTATTACCGTTGGGGACGATACCCCTCCTCCTACCCCAATCTCGGAGCAGGTACCGCAGTATTGGCCTAAGGGAATTCCTGAGCCAGATACTGAGGAGGTTCCAGTACCGCGATTAGAAACTACTACGCCGCCTCCGATGCAGGCAGAGCCACAAGGCCGAGAGGGAAGCGAGAGGGCGAGGACACATACGACTGTGGCACCACAACTAGCCGAGCACGCAGCTGAGCTCTTGGACACTGAGGTGCCGATATTCGAGGAGCCTCCGCCAGAGTTGCCGCCTGCAGGAGGAGGAGTGAGTGTGGGAGTTCCAATATGAGAGGGCCGCGCGACGCGAGCGGAGAGGCCGCCAGGGGAGACCGTTGAAGAAAAGTTCGCGAGAGTGCAGATGCGCCTTGAGGAGATATGCGAGAAGAAAGTTAGGATGGAGGCCACAAAGGAAGTGTCGACGCCACCAATCGAGCCCGGGACGAGTGAGCAGAGGATTGGTGAGGCGTGGGCTAGTTACGAGGGTAAGAGGGATGCTGCTTGTTTGAGGTCGCGAGAGGCGGGGCAGGAGGACGAGAGGGCGGGCGAGGCACGAGAGACTGAGGACTTGGGATTTTCAGACGCCAGGATGGTGATCAAGCGCACAGACAGGAGGATACGCCAGGCAGCGACTACGTCTTTCCAGCGATATACCATGCTTAGCAATGAGTTGGCGGCCTCGAGGATGGAGGTGGAACAGCTGTCTGTCCAGCTAGCAGAAGAAGGCGGAGAACCAGGCCTGGAGGTCTCGCATGGAAGCCAAGGAAGCTGAATGGGAGGGGAGGCTCCAGGATATGGCGGCAGTTGTGGAGAGACTTTCAGCCACCAAGGTGGTCGACTCGACAGAGCAGAGCCGATATGGTATCCAGGGAGAGGAGGTACGAGGACTCTTTGGCCAGGGAGGGGTGCAAGGGCCACCTCGGCAAGAGGGGATGAAGAAGGAATTCCTGGATCCAGCGGAAGTGGAGGCAAGGCGGAAGATCGAGGAGAAGAGTTTCAGCTTCAAGGCTTCCACAGAGTTAGCTTCGCAACAGGCAACCCCTATGATGATTTGACCCCTGTAGAGGAGCCAGCACAGAGACCCCAACCTCCACTAGAGGAACGGGGCCCCGCAGAGGAGTCCCCTACGATTCTTTTGGAGGTGCAGGGAGGTACCCTTACGGAGGCAGTGGCGTCCGCTGAGCCTGAGACAATGGAGGAGGAAGCATCACGGTTGGATGAGCTAGTGGCGTCCATGGAGGTAGACATGCCGCTAGAGAGGCCCTAGAGGCTGGATACGCCTGAGTATGGACCAGAGGGCGTGGGCACACGAGGTAATGAGGGCACTAGGGCCACGGAGCCCGGACCTCGGGATCGTTTGGGGTTGCCACTATGTCACGAGGAAGCCACTGAGGCGACTGCAGTACCATCAAGCTCAAACCCCCAGGAGAAGGGGAAGTCCAAGAAGTGGTTTGACTCGTCCTGTTTCTTCTGCAAGGAGGAAGGGCATCGGACTCTATAGTGCGAGGGGTTTCTTAAGGACGAGGCGGCGGGGCGAGTCACAGCCAGAGGTGGGAGATTCTATGATCGACAGGGCAGGGTGGTAGAGAGGACTGCAGACGGGGGTAGGGCTCAACTGTATAGACAGAACCAGGAGGAAATGAGTGAGTAGGGACAGGTCTGTCTATATGTCAATAGGACTCGAGTTCGTTTGCACGCAGAGGACATGTTAGAGGTGTATATACTATGGGTTAGTTGAGTGGATCCTAGGGGCGTGCATGCTTTAAGTCAGTAAGATGAGTCCTGTCCATTTGTATATATATAGATGGCAGTGTTTGATAGGTTTTGAGTTTTTTGTGTGATATGATTTAGGAGATGAGACTTAGTTGTGTGATACATGCGACATTCTCATCTACACTTCAATTCTTGTGATTTTGATTTTTGTTTGCACTTTTGAGTGGGTTTTGAGAGTTCATAACACTTGGAACATGAGTTACTCGGCAGGGTGGGGCAATGGACTGAGTATCCCTGCGTGTATTCTGCGAGTTATACATTGAGAGTGGGTCCTACTTAGACGAGTAGGACAGTGAGATGATAATTTGTATTGAGTTTCAAGAGAGACGTTCTGCTCCAGAGTGTATTTAAACATCGAAGTCTTTGCGACTTGTTCTTGTGACGATCACGATCACTCTCGCACGTGTGGATTTATCCCAATGTATGATGGTTTTATGTGAGAGTTGTGTGGGATACATCTCGTATGTTTGGTATTGTGTGAATGTGAATACCGTCTACTACTCGGTATACTCGTGCGACCTGCCTACGGGCGGATGAGAAAGCCGAGTATAAGGGGAGGCAGTGCGGTTGTTTTGTGACAGGAGTGTGAGAATCCTAAGGGATTTTGCGAGTCTCTGAGGCTCGAGTACTTACCATGCCGGATGTTTTTGCAGCTGAGTTGCGAAGGGGGCTTATAAGCAGGGTCCCTCAGATTGAGTTGTTTCGTGGTTGAGTTGTGGGAGGACCCATAAGAAGGCCTCTCAGTTTGGGTTATTTTATGGTTGATACCCCTTTAGATTGAGGAAGGTGGTAATGTTGTTTATCGAAAGACTCATCTCCAAAAAAGGGAGATGTTTTAAAAAGGGTCGCGTGATAGCTCATCCTAGAAAGAGAGGGATGGCCGACAAAACCTATTGGGGGAGACCTCCTTCGTGTGAAAGGTGGATAATAGATTTAAGGGCATGGTAAGCAAAGTTTGAATTGATAAAGTCTGACGAAAGGAACCAGAATTACGGATTGGATCATTGGTGGAGCTGAGAAGGTCGCAAGTCAGTGCATTAAGATGCCGTGGGATGTGTGGTCTGCTATCTCTGATCAAGTCAATAGACCACGGCCTTGTGTGAGCCTAGCGGTGAATTTGTTTGTAATCGTGGGAAGGGGCCGTGCTCTCTATGTTGTCCCATAGGGAGCTGGTAAACATCTTTAAAAGTGAGACAGAACCCTGCGTACTCCCGCAGCGGGCCTGTGGTCTGTTTTGCGACGCACCGTCTAGACACTTGTGCTAATCCTAAGGCATATTGAGGAATACCAAGCTAAACAGTAAAGGTTAGCACCTCTAGGGCGCAACCCCTAATGGATGGCTGCAAGCCAGCACAACCTGGCTGCGGACCCACGTCTACCAAAGGGGTAAGAGTTTAAGGGGTTATGCACGCCCCAGGGAATTACTCCGGTGGGATGGCGGGGAATACGAGTCGAGACTGTAGGTAGTCCTGATTGAATGCTTATCAGGAGAAAACATATCGTTGTGTAACCAACGAAGGAACTGCCGTTAAGATAACAATGCGGCAGGCCGTAGATCTGGATCGATGAACCAGACTATGGTTGGCCAGGATGAAGACCTAGCGTTTCTGTACTAGACTGCAGAAAAGGCTGTGATAAGATTTAAAGTTTATATATGTACATGTGCTTTTGATAGTGAGGGTTTTGTGAGGAAGGCGAGAGTGTCTTCCGAGGTCTCATTTAAGGCCCTCGTCCCTGAGTATGACTCTACTTACGAGCACGAATCTAACCGGGACACTCAACGAGAGGTCGGCGTTTGTCTAGGATAAAGGCAAGAGGATGGTTTAGAGGGTCTTTTGGAACTTATGTTGTAGTACCGATCCGTAGTACACCGGCGTCCTAAGGTCAGGGCAATGGAGACCCAGGTTGAAACCCTGGCAGCATATAGTTGTGTGGGCACAGATTGTTGGAGGACCTCGAACCTGAGTCTGTCGGCTAATCGGATTGGTTCCTTTTTCGTCAGCATTTGGAGAGTGGATGAACTTACAGCCTTCTGATTTGGCGGGGCAACGGGGACGTCGCTTAATATAGTCCGATAGGCTGTCGGCGCGAATACCCTTACAAGGGTATCCGCCCTGGTTTTTGTAGATGACAGGAAAAATAGGTTTGGTCAAAATGAGCCGTGCGAGGTGAGACCACGTCCGAGATCCGCCTTGGTTGAGTCAGGAGGTATGTGGGCGCGCAGTTTTAAGGCGCACGTGTGATTTTTTTGATTGAATAGGCGGCCGGTCTAGTCGACCGACCCGGATCGTGCTACGGATTTGATTAAGGAATAAAAGTTCGTTTTCGGTTGGCACGCGCAACCGACAGTAGGACAAGCGCACAGGATGGCGCACGGGGCAGCCACGGCACGGTCTAGGTAAGCCGGCGCGGGTGCCTAGTGATGGCATGCTGGTTGTAGGCAGAAAAGGGGGCCTAGGCTGTTCTTCCCAGGCCTAGGCACCGCGCGGTACCACTTCATATCGAAATCCGCGCCTAGCTGTTTCAGGCTTGGGCTTAGCCCTATAGGTTACGGGATTGGACTGTTACTACGGAGGCTTGGGGATCGAGGCCAGCATGAGGCGATGAGGGAGCAGCGGAGCGTTGGGGAAAACCGAGGGGTTGAGGGCCGACGGGGCTATCCCTCTCAGTTTTGGCGACATGCGGAGTGACGGGCCCGACCTAAGGGACTCGCGAGGTGCCAGTAGCCCCGGTTCCCGTTTCAGGCCTTATAATAAACGGGTTTTATGAATTTTTATATTCTTGTCTTTTATTTATTTTGATAGTTGTATTTTTCTTTTTTTTGGGTCCCGTTTTCTTTTGGGATATGGCCCGAGAGCGTGCCGCAGTGGGCACACCCACGAACGGTCAAGACATAGGGCTAGTGGCCCTGACACTTTCGTGGGGGCACTGTTCCGGCCAAAGTCCTTCGGGACATCCGTTAAAATCGGAACGATACCGAGGAGATTTGCATGGCCCCTGCACAAGGATGGTGCGCAAGGGTCCGGAACGAACCCTGACGCAGATTGCGCCGGGTACGTACAGGCCAGCGGGGGTGAGGTGAGGAAAAATCCAGGAGTGAACCCGGACGCTGGCACGGCGGGGTGCGTGCGGAATGGCTAGGAGGACGGTGTCCGCCCCACCCCCCCCATTCAATAGGCCGGGCGGCCATTGGGACCGCCACGGGGCATTACCCCGGCCCGGTCCTTCGAGACATCCGTAAAAAATTGGAACGTGCATGAGTGACGCCCATAAATCGAGGAAGGAATCTCGATGTTCTCCATTTTTTTGTTTTCGCTTTTACAGCCTGTTGCTGGGCGCGGGCGTCGTATGAGCAGGCGCTGGCAGAAGTGCGCTGTTGCTAGGCCGGTCAGAGTCGAGGTGCGACCAGGGCTGCGCGAATCGAAAGAGAAGACGGAGCGGGGTGATAGTGGTAGCGGGCGAAGTAGGAGCGCGGTAAGGGCGGCTGCTATCGAAAACTGCGCCAGCAGCGGTGGTGGAGGAGTCGGTAAAGGGCGAATGATCCTGGACACGAAGTAGAGCCGGGTGCATGCGGGGTATGGACAACGAAGTAGAGTGTAGCGGGGCTAGGGAGGCGTAGTCGGAAAGGAACAACACGCTTGGTCCTTAGCAGGATCGAACGAGGGGATGGACCCGGGCGCAGAATTGCGCCAGATACATTTAGCTACAAGCACGGAGATGGCGGAGAGAGGAGGGTAGAGCCTGCCCGTTTCCTGATTGAATCGGGCAAGGCGAGAGTCCGTTCGGAGGGTTAAGACTATGGCGACCTCGGATCCGCGGTTAGTTTAGGGGGGGGGTTAGCATAGAGGGAGTTAGTAAGGAAGGTCAGTGTGTGAGCTATGGCGAAAGGGAAAGACAGGAATGAGGAGAAAGGAAATTTGCACAACCGGCTCGTTCCTCAGTAACAGCGAGCGAGTGAGGATCGAAGTCTGGGGTTTCCAGGCAGGGCGAGTCCGATCATGCGGCTAGATTGGAGGAACACTGAGTGATTTCCCCGTTACGTGAATAAATGGCCACGCGAAGGTAAGGGACGAAGAGGAGATAGGATGATATCACTTACCACGCTCGATTCCTAGCGGAATCGAGAACGGGAGGAAGCTAAATTGGGTTTTCGGTCGGGCGGGGTGAATGACCACGCTGAAAATTCGAATCGAGTGATGGTTTGGGTAGTGTGAATGATTAAGGCCGCGCCCGGAGGTAAGGGCTACAACCACTATGGAGTAGGGGGGGTGAACCTGGTCCTGTCTAGGGGAAGATTCATTTGACTTTTGTTCACCTTGTCGGTGAGAGTAGCATGAGGCTACCCGTGAAGAAGAACGCTTTTCGCTCGGGTCGAGTGCCGGGGGGGGGGCGTAGCTCATAGAAGGCAAGGAACACCTTTGCGCCCAAGCAGAAAGTCCACTCGATCTCCATTTGCGGCTTTATGGGTGTTACGGTAGGAGGCAACGAGGTCGGGACTTGTCTGCTGACTGGTTCGCTGTGAATCCCGTCGGGCAAGTACGGCAGGGGTAGCTACGCAAGCTCGAGCTGGAGGTTGC